AGGGGAGGGACGGTGGGGGGTGGGGAGCTGGGGAGAGATAGCAAGGGGAGAAATGCCAGATGTAGGTGATGGGGAGGAAGGCAGCAAATCACACTGCCACATGTGTACCTATGCAACAATTTTGCATGTTCTTCACATGTACCCCAAAACCTAAAATGCAATAAAATAAATAAATGGGAAAAAAAAAGAGTTTAGTAATGGAGCTGGGACCCAAACTCAGTTCTGACGGCTTCCAAAGTCTGTGTTCTTGCAGCCTGCCCACTGCCCCATCCCTATCCCTCCCCAACCTCCTCTCCCAACCCTCGGCAAGGCCTAAGGCTTTGCTCGTGACTTTTAGAACAGAGAGCAGTGGCAAAGGCTACCTTTGAGTTCTGCCTCTAGGGCTGAAAATTAAAATGTCTTGGGAAGTGTTCAGCCTTGCTACCCCAGTTGCATCCCTGTCACGTAATTACCTAACTTCAAAGCCTCCACACGGCAGATGTGAGGATGTAAAAGTTGCCATTACCCCCACGGAACGTGGTGGGACTAGATACAGATGAGACAGGCCATCAGAGCTGCTGTTGTATGGAGAAAATCAGGCGGTCTGGGGGCCAGACCTAAAGGCCTGGCCTTGTGACTTTGGCCATCAGAAAGAACACCTGAAAGCCTGGATTCACAGAGGACCAAGGCAAGGAAGGTGGCCTGGAAGTACTAATGCTTGGTAATTACTGCCCCTGCTTCCCCTTAAAAAAAAAAAATTGTTTTTTTTTTTTTTTTTTTTTTTTTGTTTTTGAGACAGGGTCTTGCTCTGCTGCCTAGGCTGGAGTACAGTGGTGCAATAGTAGCTCATTGCAGTCTCAGCTCCTGGGCTCAAGTGATCCTCCTGCCCCAGCCTCCCAAGTAGCTAGGACCACAAATATGTGCCATCACTCCTAGCTAATTTTTTATCTTAATTTATTTTGTAGAGACAGGGTCTAGTTCTGCTGTCCAGGCTGGTCTTGAACTCCTGGCCTCAAGCAATCTTCCTGGCCCAGCCTCCAGAGTGGCTAGGACAACAGGCATGTACCATCATGCCTGGCTAATTTTTTAATTTTATTTTTATTTTTATTTTGTAGACAGGGGGGTCAAACTATGTAGCCATAGCTGGTCTCAAACTCTTGGGCTCAAGCGATCCTTCTGCCTCAGCCTCCCAAAGTGCTGAGATTATAGGCATGAGACTCTGCATCTGGCCTGTGCTTCCCCTTATACCATGGGGCTTATGGCTCCCCACAAGTCCTGGAGGGAAGGAAGCTCAACCTTACCTTCATTACTTAGGTGAGACTGCCAGGTGGAGGGTAGGGACAGGGGTGGGGCAGAGTGGGGAGAGTGAGAACTCGCCCATGCCACTATCTCACTTCTATCTTGGGGCAGGGATGTGGAGAGGCCTGAAAGGGCCCAAATGAGAGGTCTCTGCCTGGACTAGATAAGAAAGAACAAGCCTAGAGCAGAAAGAGGAATTCTCATAATCTTTTAAGCTAAATGACTTCTATATAGCAAACAGATGCACATTCATTTGTAACTATTACATAAAGTTGAATGTTACTGACTATTTTATAGTATTGGACCTGAAGGGGTATGTACTACATGTTTACAGAATGAGAGAGAGAGAGAGAGAGAGAGAGAGAGAGACAGAGAGACAGAGGGAGACAGACAGAGAGAGATTGAGGCCAGGCAGCAAGGCATTGCAATTTCTTAAAAAGGACTGGACTGGGCCAGGCACTGTGCTGTGTCCTCAGCGTGCTGATTTATCAAATGCTCACTGCCACCCAAGGCAGGCATGATTATTGTATTAGTCTTTTTTTATGCTGCTTATAAAGACATACCCATGACTGGGTAATTTATAAAGAAAAAGATGTTTAATGGACTCAGTTCCACATGGCTGGGGAGGCCTCACAATCATGGTGGAAGGCAAAAGGCACTTCTTACCTGTTGGTGGGAAGAGAGAATGAGAGAACCAAGTAGAAGGGGTCTCTCCTCATAAAACCATCAGCTCCAGTGACATTTATTCACTACCACAAGGACAGTATGGGGAAAACTGCCCTTGTGATTCAATTATCTCCCTCCCTTAACATGTTGGAATTGTGGGAGCTACAATTCAAGATGAGATTTGAGTGGGGACACAGCCGAACTGTATCAATTATTATTCCTTTCGCACAGATGAAAATACTAGGGACAGAAATGTGAAGTGATTTGCCCAAGGTCATGCAGCTGCCAAGGCTGATTCCAGAGCCCATGTCTTGTGTCTCAGTTTTTTCTTACTCCCTACCTGTTGCCAGCCATGACCTGGAATGGGGGTGTGGAAGAGCAAAGAAGCTGGGAGAGGTAGAGCTTGAGTGATCCGGACTTCTCATCAAAACTCAAGACCAACATGATACCACAGAAAGCGAGGGAAAAGGAGTTAGGGATCTGGGTTCAGGTCCTGACTGTCACTTCTTCACAGTGACTTTTCCTTGCTAGATTCAGCCTTCACCTCTGTAAAATGGGGAGAATTACAACACTGTTTCAAAAAGGCACCACGAGGAGAAAGAATAAGGAGAAAAGGACTTGGAAGCCTGGTGCAGTGGCTCACACCTGCAATCCTAGCACTTTGGGAGCCTGAGGGAGGAGGATCACTTGAAGTTAGGAGTTCGAGACCAGCCTGGCCAACATGGTAAAACCCTGTCTCTATTAAAATTACAAAAAAAAAAAAAAATAGCTGGCCTGGGGGTGGCACACCTGTAATCCCAGCTACTCAGGAGGCTAAGGCAGGAGAATCACTTGAACCTGGAAAGTGGAGGTTGCAGTGAGCCAACATCACACCACTGGACTCTACCCTGAGTGACAGGGTGAGACTCCATCTCAAAGAAAAAAAAGAAGAGAGAGGTAGAAGAACTATGCAAATTCAAACTCAGGGATCAGCAGATTACAGCTGAGGGCCACAGCCAGCCGGCAGTCTGTTTTTGCAAATAAAGTTTTATTGGAATAAATGAAGTTGTCAACACTCTTCCTGCTGGTAATACTCTGGACCCCTCTGTGGTGACTGAGCAAACCCAAGCTTCTGGAAGAATTGGCAAAACCCAAGCCATCTGAAATAACAAGGAAAAATTATTGTTGATTTTTAGCCTGTAAATTCTCTTAGAATTTGGTTTCCCCGAAATGAGTTATTTGCTTTGTGATGCTTGTTACTTACTGTATGGATTATATTTGAGAAAAATGAAGGACAATGTGAAATGCTGAGATGAAACTTTAACTTTGGCTCTGCTGAGCTGCAACTTGTAACTTTGGCTCTGCTGAACTGTTCTTGTAAAAACAGGAACTCTGTGAAAGGGACTAACCACGTAGGTTGACTGCCGGAAAGAGATGACAGCGCGTAATGGGCTTCTCATCGCAGAGAGCCTATAAACTGACGTGTAATGGAGAGGTTTATTGCCCAGATTCCCTTCCCAGGAAAGGCATATTGATTAGGGCCCTGGAAAGGCAATGTGACCCTTATGGAGATCCTATAAACGGACGCATGAGGGGCATCTGTCTCTGTGGTGGAGATAAGGATGTAAAAGTCTCTCTTTTCCCACCGCTCCTCCAGGCCTGCGTGGAGGCCCCTCCTCTTGCAGTTTCGTGGTCAGGCTGGTTGTCCTGTGTCAGATCCTGTTCCCTCTGTAGCTGTGAGCCCAATGTGTTCTTGCTGATAATCATAAGTTTATGTTTAACCTATATTCTTGCTAAGGTGTATGATTTCTATGCTGACACACACAAAGTTATCTTTACGTTGTTCTGCTTTTATAATACCACGTTGTGATTTTTGTGCACCAGTTTTTGCAAATGTATTCTTTGTGTATAATTATTACTGAAACTTTGTGTAACCTCATTCCCCCTCCCCTATTGAAAGGGCACAATAAAAACCTGAGGTTTTCAGGGGAATGTCAGACATCCACGGAGCGGCTTTATGTGGTGTCTCCCCTGGGCCCAGCTTTAAAGGAAACTTTTTCCTTGTCTCTCTTTCTTTTTCACCGACCACTTGATCACTTCGAGAGATCTTAAACCCACGCTGATATATTGGGAGCTGGTCTCACCAGTATGTTTCTTTATTGTTTATGGCTGCTTCTGGTCTGCGAAGCCTAAAATATTTACTATCTGGTCAACTGGATAATGAGTTTGCCAACCCCTGGCCTAAGATGCTATGAAAATGAGAAGTAAACCGTGCCTCAGCACAGCGCATTAGGCATTCCCAGCATCTTCCATCAGCTCTGGTTCTTATTTAGAATTGCTCTCCCTTGACCCCCTACCCAAACGTAGAGGTGCATTTCAAATCTATTTCTGAAAAACAAGGCAAACAACTCTCCCAAGGGTGAAGAAATCAAACTCCCAAAAGCTATTTCAGTGCCCTGCATGGTTCTAGCTGACATCGGGTGCTGCAAAAAGTCACTCCAAGGCACAGTCACTTACTTGCAGTTTTTACACTTGAGGCCAAAAAGCATCCCTTTCCCACAGACTGTGCATGTCTGAGACATCCAGTACTTGGTGGAAAACCTGTGGAAAAGAGACAGAAAGTGTTCAAGGTTAAGGAAACGGCAACTGACCTACCTCTGGAGCGATGGGGCACTTTAAGAGCAAGCACAAGAACCCTGGATTCCAGTCCTGTTTCTTCCGAGCTAGGCAACTTAATCAAGTAGCTTAAACCACTGGAACCTCAGTTTCCCCGTCTGCAAAGTGCAGATAATAAAAGTATTGACCTCATAGGTTGCTGGGGAGATTAAACGAGGTCAGGCATGTCAAGGGCTTTGCGCAGGGCCTGCTACATAGTAAGCACTCACTAAATTGGGTTGTGATTATACTATTACCTTGAACATTCATAAGGGTCATTCATTTGTTCAACAAATATTGCCTGGCAGCCTACCGTATGCCAATAAAGGACAGGGTTGGAACTGCCTGCAGAAAGCTACAAAGCAAGGTGGAACCTCCTGGGGGACCGGCTGAACCATCCCCCAGCACTTGCTGGTCACATCACCTGGGGACCATCAAGGGGAGCCCACCCCTCCTGAAAGAGCTGAGACCCCAAATTTTAGCGGCAGAGAAGAGTCCTTGAAAGTGAAAGCCATTTCAGACCATCAGCTCACCCCGCTCTCCAACTCCACCCACTTGCTGCAAACATAGGCAGTTTGGAGGCCTCCCATGCACAGCTATAAACCAACTGGAGCAGAGGTGCATTCAATTAACTCCCTGGGTACATCTCCCCTCGATATTGCTGGGGTGCTTTCTTCCCCAAGAGATATGTGGCAGCGGCAGGGTTAGGCCCAAGAAAAGTACTGAAGGTTGCCAGGTCACAGATAATTTTAATTTTCAATTTGTGTCACCGGCAGCAGGAGTTGTATCTAATCTCCACCGCCTCAGAGTGTCAAAAGGAAAATCGGAAGTGATTATATAACTTGGAGTCTGAGAATTTCGAGGGAAAGTTTGCATCCCTTTGCTGGACCATTTTGCCTGATTTGGGTCAGTCACTCTCCACACAGAAGAAGCCACAGCCCAAAGCCTACAAATCTAAGCAAATAGCAATATTCTGAGCAAAGACTCTTACTGCCAAGAAAACTCTCCCTCTCTGGTTTTGGGCTTGGGATTTGGTCAAGCCCCTTTCTTTCCCTTCTGCATCAGTGAGTTTAGCATCGTCTGTTTTGCAGAATTTGGCAGCTCTGGGGAATGGCGGCAAAGAAGCATGTATTTCACTCATCAGCCAGGCGTCATAAGCAGTGAGTGACAGTTTTCTTCTCCTTTCCAGCCCTCTCTTGCACGCGGGATCAGCTCTGCCTCTTCCCCAGCTCTGGCTGAAGTGACTCTGATGGCAGCCGATGGGATTTTAATTTCATTTCTTCACCAAGGCTGGGGCGAGTCCAGTTCTCTACCTCTTGGCATTAACCCCAAGGAGAAACATATGGAGTGACTGAAGAGTAACAGGTCATCCTAAGTCTCAGCTCCTCTAGGAAGATATTCCTAAAATTAATAGGTTGTCTCCCTCCTCTGGGCATCAGCATTTGAATCTTAGGAACTACCAGAGCCTGGGGGCTGGGCGTTCTAGGGAGTAGGGCTGAATCAGGGGCATGGCCAATCCAGGAGCAGAGGTGAGCCAGAGGTGTGGCTCACCTAGGGGTGTGGCCCACCCAGGGGCGTGGCTGATCCAGGGGCGTAGCCAATCCAAGAATGGTGATAAGCCAGGGGCAGGGCCAGTCCAAGGGGCGTGGCCAATCCAGGGGTGGAGCAGAGCCAGAGAGCAGCAAGGAGGAAAATACCAAAAAAGGTCCTTGTCTCTGATGCCCTTCTCTCTGCTACCCAAGGCCTGACCATTGACGTGTCTATCGCACACTTCTCACTGCTTCCTCCAACGTTTTCTCATTTCAGTCTTAATAACTATGCTGTCAACATACTTCTTTCAAAAACTGCTGACGAGATGCCATTCCGTGAGTCCTCATCTGTGAGAATGCTCATCCCCGCCATGCCCCCAGCTATGGTGATACATCTGCCCCCAATATCACCCCACCTTGTCACCCTGATCGCTCCATACTGTCGTGGTCTGTTAACTGCCTGACCCTCCCCTGGACAGCAAGCTCCCCAAGGGAACAGGCCTTATGTCTTGGTCAGTGATGCCACTATGGCACAGAAACTCTATAAATACAAGCGGAAAGAATCTACTAATGAGTGAACAAGTCCCCCAGCGAGTTCACAGAGGACCCGGTCCATGGAACACTCAGCAGGGTGTCAAAAGAACACAAAGTACTGAGGCTAATTAGCTTTTCGACCTATCGCTTAATTTTTCAGGGCCTCAGTTTGCCTATCTGTCCAATGGCCATGAGCACACTTGCCCTGCTCACCCCATTAAGTTTGTAAGGAGACTGTGGAACTACCAAGACAAAATGGGGAAAGCTAAATTTGGGGAGTTGAAGAACTTCTTTTTTTTTTTTTTTTTGAGACGGAGTTTCATTCATGTTACCCAGGCTGGAGTGCAATGGTGCAATCTCGGCTCACCGCAACCTCCGCCTCCTGGGTTCAGGCAATTCTCCTGCCTCAGCCTCCTGAGTAGCTGGGATTACAGGCACGCACCACCATGCCCAGCTAATTTTTTGTATTTTTAGTAGAGGCGGGGTTTCACCATGTTGACCAGGATGGTCTCGATCTCTTGACCTCGTGATCCACCCGCCTCGGCCTCCCAAAGTGCTGGGATTACAGGCTTGAGCCACTGCGCCCGGCCGAAGAACTTCTTATAAGCGAAGCCTGGTGTATGCAACCCCCTCCCCTCAAAATGGCAGGTATAGCCCTGGAGAGGCTATCCCATGCACACAGTAGGGCTAGAGCTCTGGAGTGACCTCCACCAGACCAGAGAGTGAGCACCTGCAATCTTGTGTATTCTGGGTGAGGAGACTGAAAATTAGAACATAAAGCATTCATCTTAAGAATGATACCGTTTATTGAGTGTTATGTGCCAGGCCCTGCGCTAAGCACTCTACATATATTATCTCATTTAATCTGCACAGCCACCTATAGGTAGGCAGAATTATCTAATGAAAAAATTGAGCCTCAGAAAGGTTAAACAACTTCCTCAAGGTTGCAAAGCTTTACTAGCTGGAATTGGAACACAGGTCAGTCTGACTCCAAAGCCCTGGCTTTTAACTGCTATGTGCTAATTTCATAAGAACCAGGTTAGTAAGAAGCAGATGTCTCAGTCCCCTTGTTGCCACTTTTGCCTAGCAGAGGAGAAAGGGACACAGTGATGTAGGTGCCAGAGCTCAATAGCCCAGCCTTCTCTCACCCCAGGGCAGGAGCCAGAGCCCCCACCCCTCACAGGGATTGGAAGAAGGCACCAGCACACACGGGATTCCAGCCTACCTGTGCTTGATGGAGTTGCCGAGGTCTCTGCGAGGGATCTGCGGGGACCAGCGTGGCACTGACAGTGTGTCTACAGAGAGAAGAGAACAGCCTGTTATACAGAGGGTCAGAGACTGGGGTGGGCTCTGGCAAGCCCTGGAAGGAAAAGGGAGGCTTGTCAACCTCAGGAAGGACATCAGCTGCCATCACTTGCTAAACCAAAGCCAAGCGGAACACTGGTTTAGCTTGTCACCTCAACTCACACAAGTTCTCCTGGGCAGGGCAGTCAGGGGATGCCTGAAAAGAAGCCAGCTGTGGAACGACTAAAAGTGAGCATCACTTCCACTTACGGAGTGCTTGGTGTGTGCCACTCACGTGTGTGCCAAAGCTTGCTGCATTCTCAAAACAACCCCAAGAATAGGGGTTGCTAGCATCTTCACATTACAGAAGAAAAAACTGAGGCTTGGAGAGGGATGTCACTTGCTCTAGGTCATATATCTTAGAAGCTGCACAGCAGCTGTGATTTCAGGTTCAAGGAACCTGAAATGAACATGTGCCCTTGCATGCAAGGTTATAATGCAGTGGGTTCCAAGTGCTAGTCATGCTAGTGTCCCTTTCCTAATTCTACCATGCCTCTGTACAACCGTAAAGTTATTTATTTTGTATTTTAGGCTGACTCCAATTTTTTTTTTTGTCTAAATACACTTATTTTTAAAAGCCAACACTATGTGGAAAGCCATATCACTTTCTGGATATTATAGATAATTATTTGAATAATGTACAACCACGTACCACCTAAAGTTATGCTACAGTAAGTAGATGGATGGATGAGCAGATAGATTGGGGAGGGGGTAAATGGATAGGTGGGTGGGTGAGTGGATGGATGGATGGATGGATGGATGGACTGATGGATGGACGGACATATGGGTAAATGGAAAGATGGGTAGGTGAGTGTATAGATAGGTGGGTGGGCAGATTAATGATGAATGAGAATGAGGAAGAAACAAAAAAATCAGACTGCAGATGAGGTGCCTGTCTCCATCTGGTCTTTTATTTCAAGCCTTAGGCTAAATCTCAGCGAACTGCACTATCACTCCATCACAGACTGAGTTCCGGGTCTCCCACAGACCCTGTGCACCAGGTTCCACCTCCGCCCCACTGCCCCTTGCTCACGCCACCCTCCTGCCAGAGCTTGCAGGCCCTGGAGAGGTGTGAAACAATGACAACAATGAACTAGTGCAGCCTGTGGAATCCATACTGGGCAGGGAGGGAAGAAGCAAGTGCCTGACCCTACACGCCAGTTCTCATTTCTCAGGCCAGATGGATGGAGCCTGCTCCCTGTTTTTGGAGCTGCAAGTGCACGCCTCATTTTTCACAGCAATTGTTATGGGGTGGTGCCCTCTTCGGGGAGTTGGGCATATCAGAACCTATCAGGGACCATTTAACTCCCAACCTACTCACTCCTCTCTTCTGTCTAATGACGCTGTCGGCAGCTATCCAGTGTTGTTTCCAGAAATCCCAGTTCTGCCCTTCTAAAGCTGGGATCCTTTATGAGAGAGCTAATGATTTTCCAGGCCCCAAAGGGCAGAGAAAACCTAAGAGGGAGACAGCATGATATATCAACCAGAATTAGAGCCTGTGGGATTCCTTTAGTTTAACTAAAAACTAAATGTCATCAACCTCAAGCCCATTTCACTACACGTTACCATTTCTGAGGGAAACAGAAAAGACAAGAGAAAAAAAAATTTTAAGAGGGAATTCTTTCCATTCCTAACTCTTTTGGGGACTGAAGTCAGATGTGGGAGGAGGGATTCTACCTATTAACTCCTTGAGGTGCTTTCTCCAGTGCCAGGGGTGGGTGGGAATGGGAGGACTGCGCCAGAGAGGAAGAGTTAGCATCCTCACGAGGAAATCTACAAAGCTAGGAGTGCTAATGGGTTTCATTTCAGGGGCTACTAGTAGTGGCTGGCCAAAGAAGTGTGTTAAAATGGATTCTGAGGCTCAGTGGGAAAGGGCACTGAAACTGATTAGCAATCTCTGCCATGGGTAAAGAATGAGATTGTACGAACAGGTCTGCATACACTTGCCATCTGCAAGAGTGGGAACCACATCTCCTCTTTGCATCACCACCTCATAGCATCATGCTTGCAGCAAAGTAGTTAATACACGTTTGCTGAATCCAAGATTATTATAATAGAAACACCGAGTTTATTGATTACTCAATAGGTGGTAGGCATTAGGCTATGCATTTTATACCTGGAAGCTCTTCCTCTGTGCGGTCAGGCTGTCATTATTCCTATTGTGCAAAGGAAGACAAAGAAGCTCAGAGAAGTGCAGTGACTTGCGGAAGGCCACACAGCCACGCACCCGCAGATTCTCAATGAGTAACTCTGCAATTGTTTGAAAGTCTTCCAGAAGCCCTTGAACCCACTATTCTCAATCAGAGGAGCATTTTTCCCCCTAGAGGATATCTGGCAATGTCTGGGGACATTTTTGGTTGTCACACTGTGTGTGTGTGTGTGTGTGTGTGTGTGTGTGTGTGTGTTACTAGCGTCTGGTGAGGAGACAGCAGGGATGCTGTTTAACATCTTATAATACACAGGGCAGACTCCCATAATAAAGAACTAAACAGCCCAAAATGTCAATAGCACCAAGGTTGAGAATTCCTGATCTAGATGTTTCTCTGCTTCTCCAGCCTCTTTCCCTTACAACTACCACCCTTCCACCACCCTTCCAAAAAACCCCCAGATGGTGCTTCTGAGGCTCAAGTCCGCAGGGAACAAATCCTCTTTTATTATAAGCACATCTCACTATTACGTTCATAGCCTAGTTATTCAGTTATTCTCAATTATAGCTTCTTTTCAAAAACTAGATGTAATTAACTTTAGTAGTTTGGTCTCATTTCCCAATATCTGGTTGAAGGGGTGAATTCTGTCAATTACATTAAGTGGCTGCAGCATCATTAGTCTCAAGCAGTAATAACCTCCACACAGCTTCCTACGTGGGCGTCAAGATCTGAACTTTGAGATCCCTCTCTTTGCTTTCTTCCTTTGGATTTTATTAAACTTGCCAATGCAAGCTTTAAAGCAATGGCAAACTGTTGAAAGGGAAGGGGGAAAAAATCTTTGAAAATCCAGGCCTTATCATAACAGGGAAGGCAAACAACATTTACAGCAATTAAGCCGATACAGAAACTTCTGTTTAACAATCAAAGCACCTATTAAGATGTCTCCATAGCTGACAGAATCTTCTTTTCTACTCTAATTTTCTGATAACAAGTCATGCAGACACAGAGGCAGAATTTTGTGCATGCCTGGTGCCTACGGTCTCAGAAGTAGAATAATAGACATTTCTCCTTAGATATTTTCATTTCTAGTACACAGAAAGAGAAAGAGGTGGAAGGACGGAGGTTTCTTCTCCCCTTGCATAGGTCTAGCTGTCGATGTCTTCTGAGAAATGCATCTGCCCAGAAGGGGCTTCACACAGAAGAGGGAAAAGCCGGGAGACCAGGTCTTTGGAATCACCTTAGTAGTCAGAGGGACAAACAGAAGGCCCAACAGAAGGAACCAGCATTCGCAAAGCATCCACAGCACTTAGAGTTTCTTGATGAAAAATCAGGCTCTGATCTGGTGAATTTGAAAGCTGCCTGACAGATGAGCTAGGCATGGGAAAAATACATGAGGATATACACAGAGACACAGGTAAAAATGGGTGATGATGAAGGAAAGGAAGAGGAGGAGAAGAAAAAAGAAAGTAAGAAATAAGAAAAATATGGCTGGTGCAGTGACGCACACCTGTCATCCCAGCACTTTGAGAGGCTGAGGCAGGTGGATCACCTGAGGTCAGGAGTTCAAGACCAGCCTGGCCAACATGGCAAAAAGCCCACCTCTACTAAGAATACAAAAAAAAAATTTGTCTATGGTCGGCACCTGTAATTCCAGCTACTCAGGAGGCTGAGGCAAGAGAATTGCTTGAACGTGGGAGGCAGAGGTTGCAGTGAGGCAAGGTCATACCATTGCACCCCAGCCTGGGCCACAAGAGTGAAACTCCATCTGAAAGAAAGAAAAGAAAAAAGAAAAGAGAGAAAGAAAGAGAGAGAAAGGAAGGAAGGAAGGAAGGAAGGAAGGGAGGAAGGAAGGAAGCAAGGAAGGAAAATAGATCTGTTTTTCTTATGCCAAGCACTATTGTCAAACAGACCCTTGACATATATTATCCTGTTAATACAAACACTACAGAGTATACACACACATAGTCTATCCGCCATGATAATTAGTGCCATTTCAACAAGGAAATAAAAAATTTATCCCGACTGCCCAAGGTAAATGCAAGTAAATGCCAGAATGGGGATTTTTTAATTGAGCTGTGGCTCAATTAATGGAAGTGAATTTCATCTCCCTTTCACAGATGGGAATATTGAGGCTTAGAAGCAATAAGCAATTGTCTAGAGCTGATAAATGGCTGAGTCGGGATTTAAACTGCAGACAGAAACAAACTGGATGCTTTTAGTCCAGACTTCCTTCAACACCCTGGTCAACCCATCCTCTCCTGCCACGGCCTCCTACGTACCCCTGTCTGGGAAGAACCAAGAAGGCCTGGGAGGTGATGTAATAGCATAATGCTCCTGTCCCACCCCAAAGATGCCCACGTCCTAATCCCTGGAACCTGGAAGTATGTTATCTTATCCAGCAAAAAGAGATGCTGGAGCTGTGGTCAAGCTAAGGACCTGCAGATGGACAGGTGACCCTGGATTACTGCAGGTGGACCCATGTCACCATAGGGCCCTTATAAGACGGAGGGAGGAGGGTAAGAGTTGAGATCAGGGAAGGGTTGTGACAATGAAAGCCGAGGTCGGAGTGATGCGACTGCTAGTTCTGAAGGAGGAGGGACAGCAGACAAGGCAGGTGGCTAGAAAAGGTGAGAATGGATTCTCCCCAGAGCCTGCAGAAGGAACCAGCTCTGCCGACACCCTGATTTTAACCCCATCGGGATCCATTTAGGACTTCTGACCTCCAGAACTGGAAGATAATGAATCTGAGATGTTTTCAGCCGCTGAGTTTGTGGTCGTTTGTCTCAGCAGCCATGGGAAACTGA